CTTCCCAGGCTTCTTTATTACAAAGACTGGGAATCCAAGGGCTGTCTGTCTCTTGCAGGTGTCCTTGAGCCACCTGCTCTTTCACAAGTTTTTCAAGTGCCTCGAGTTTCTCACTACTCAACGGCCACTGTGCTACCCACTTTGGGGTGTTATCCAACCACTTTAGCTTGTGGGCAGGGCGCCCCACAATGGCTACTTCCAAAAACCCTGGGGTGTCTTAGGAATGACCAGCTGGACTCTCCACTGGGACATGGTGTCTCTCCCCCACAGAGGAGCCTTGTAGTCTGCCACAAATGGGCAAACATTTGCCAGTTTCCCATCAGGTCCCTCAATTTGCACAACATTTTTTGAAATTTTTGCCAATGTGGTTCCTTCTATACCCTGAAGTTTTCCTGCCACAGGTTGCAATTCCCAGTGTGGTGGCCACATGGTTTTAGGTATTACTCAGATGTCTGCACCTGTGTCTAGAACCCCTTCCACCTGGAGGTGCTCTGACCCATGTGCTAGGTTGCATGCCATCGAGGGTCTATCCTCTCCTACTACCTCTGCCCAGTAGACTTCTGGTGATTTTCCTTCTACTGTTATTTCTACTGGGATGGGAATGGCTTCTGCCAGAATTTGTCCCTTTTCTAGGTAAAATGGAGGGTGTACGCAACATGCCAACAGCATAAGACTGGATATTTTTCCCTTAGTGGTCATGGGAACTATTTCAATCTCTGGAGGTGTGTATGCTGTGTCCCCAATAACAAAACACTCACTGTCCAGTTCCATATCATATGCCTGCCAGTATTGTGAGCTGATTGACCGGTCCACTATAATAACATTCCAATCAGTGGATCTGAAATGAAATCCTTTGGCAGTCACTAGGTGAGGTCGGCCTAATGGCTGCCAAACCTTGTTAGTTGTACATTTTACATTTTTATTTTTCTCTCCCCCCCCACCATGAGTCCTACCCTCCCCCTTATTTGTTAAGAGAGAGGCATTTTCCCATGTGGGTCCCGCTATATTTATGTCTTTTCACGTAGTTGTTGTAGCAGGAGCGTGCTGGGAAATTAGTTTTTTTGTTTGTTGATCTGTCTCTGGTTCTGGTTTTGAGGTCAGTTTCTGGCAAAGTGTCCTGGTTTCTTGCAACACGGGCAGATGATGTGCTGCAGCTGTTGTGATGACATGGGTTGCCTCCTTGGACTCGGTGCAGCAGTGGCAACAGGCTGTAGTTCTGCAGATGTATGACTGTCAGGGGTATCGAGCAGCTCTGCTCTGCTGGCGTAGGCATCAATCATCTGAGCAAGACTAGGTGCTGGGTCGAGAGGAAGACTGAGAATAATTCTACGACAGGTCTCATTTGCATTCCTCTGAGGCATTTCTTTAATCATCTCTGCTTGTACTCTAGTGTCTTGCACCTGTCTTTCCACCTGGGCTCTTAAACAATCGACAAACTGTAAAAAACTCTCAGAAGGAAGCTGTTTAATGTTAATATAGCTGCCCTTTGCCTGTTATTGGTAACTGGTACAATGCTTTTTCTGCAGCATTATAGATTTTTTCCAAAACTGACCTAGATAATAGTCTGGTTTGTTTTTCTGGGCATTGTATGTCTCCTGTACCGCATAAATGATGCATTGTAATAGGATTGCCATCACTGTCTATGGCCTCACTGGGTGTCTGTTGTATTTCTTGTAAAACTACTGTCAAAGCTAACTTCCACTTACTTTCCCATATCTCATATTCAGAAGGTGTGAGTAAACATTTAAATAAGTCAGTGATATCTTTAGGTACCATTTCATTTGAATTGAATGTTGCCCTTATCATCCCTTTAAAAATCTCACTGGACCTCCCAAATTCTCTCTGTATTTTACAGATCTCTGTTTTGTCTCTATATGGTAGTGGTTGGTATGTTCTGGTACTGTTTCTTCTTCCTAAATAAACAACCAGTGCTATAGATGGTATAGGGTCCTCAGCACAGGCAGGGTTCTGTCCCCCCGCCAGTTCCTGGGGTCCAGTGAGAGGCAACCCGCCCCCCTTTTCTCGGGCTGTCTGTGCCACGGTGGAAATCCCAGCCCCCCCCATGCTGTGAGCTGTGGGAACCCCGGCCTTATTCTGGGGTCCCATATGGTGGTGAAATTCCTCCTCCAACCCGTGCTTCCAAAGAAAATCTGCGCAGGCTCTTGCTGTTCAGTCTCAAGGCAGTTTATTGTTAGTTATCTAAAAGATTGTCTTCTCGGGCTGCAGCTGTTTGGTCAGTGGCCTGGGCAGAGGCACATAGACCCTGACATCATGTCTGCTGCTTTCTTCTTCTCTCCCTCCGCCCAGGGCTGCTGCTATCTTTTATATGTTATATTATGTATTACATTTTTATAGTTTTCCCCCAATACCTACTACCTATATTACAAAGTGCTTTTCTACTCTAAACCAATCTGTGAGTGCCAACATCACCAAAAACATGGAGGCAAGGAAAAGGAAGGAGGAAGAACAGGATTAGCCCACTTTCCTCCATTGTAGAACTTCTGGCCCCCATGTACAAAGTAAAAACTCCCCTGTACAAGTGTTAAACACCCCCCTGCACAATACTAAAAAAATTTCCCCTCTGTTCTGTAACTACTTTTACTATACTATCTAACCTTTTGTGACTGCTTGTTCCACCTTCAAAGTTGGTAACTCATTCCATGGCTCAAACTCAAAATCACAGCTGTTTCCAGCTGCCTGCCAGGGTCTAAAATGCTTCTGACCAAGGCCTGGAACCTCTAAAAATGTCTGAGAGATATTTTGAGTTCTCACATTGAGCTGCTGAGCTGCTGGGCCCTGCCCCCGCCCCGCTGTGCTCAGCGCCGGCGCTGGGAGCTGTGTAAGGGCCAGTCCCGTTCCCGGGGCAATGTGGGGGCTGGCTCTGATAAGCAGGGTGTTGGGGGCCTGTGGGAGGCCGGAAGGAATTGGAGGAGAGGCAGGGGGTGGGGGCAGGAAAGGATTGTGAAGGGGAGGGGGAGGGGGTTGGAGCATATGGCCGCAGCCATAATACTGCCGCGTGTGCTTCAGAGGCATTGCAAGGTGCTGTGGAGGGAATTCCTCGGTTTCGGAGAAATCCGGACTATATATCTCAGAAGAACCAGGTGTTAGGGGAGGATACAGGCTGGATGAAGGGGTATCAGGGCTGGGGTACTGAGGGGATGGATAGGTGGGGGGAAAGGGATTTTTCGGACTGTGATCCTGTGTCTGTATCCTCTTTTCTGCTTCTAAAATATTTTTTCGGGCTTGTAAAAATATCGGAATAAATCAAGAAGCTTTATGTTCACCATTTTCGACTTTTAAAGTTAATATCTGTCCAATTTGGTCCCATAAAGAAAGCTAATTCAGTTCTTGCACAGTAAAATTTGGTATTTCTGCTAGCAGCCAGCATACAAAACATAGGAGGGGCTTATCTGAAAACGATACATTGTTTAAAATATTGCTAAGGTGTTTTAGTGTGCTCTTTTGTTCCATAGATAGTTTTGCACCCATTATTTTAATCGTATCGCTGGTGTATTCTCCACCAGACTTTGTAACACAGCACGAAGTTTTTGAATTCCTGCCGTAGCACGGGATCCAAAGGAGGGGAGGGCGGGGGGATGGGCGCTAGTCCCACCGCTGCCGGAGCGGCTCCTGCCCTCGGACAGGGGGTTTTCCCCGCCGCTGTGCTGAGCTGCTGGCTCCCTCCCATCACTGCATCCCCTGGGAACGTGGGTCTCAGCCGCCGGTTCCACGCTGGCTTGTGCAGGGTTCCTGGCTTACCCTCGCAAGCAGCTTCCTGCAGCTACTATGGTAATAATCCTCCCTGCCAGATGCGATCCCCGGGGTGACGCGATCGGAGGACTTACCACGCCTTTGAACTGTAGGGGTCGTCTGTGAACTCGTCTGGGGTCCCTCTCCAGCCGGCCCACCTGGGGTACGCAGGCAGGGTCCCGACCTTTCCCTGTCACTCAAAGCCTTTAAAGGCAGCTAGAGTAATAGGGCAGTTGACTGTCCCAAAAAGCTACCGAGGTCCTATGAAATAGTACCTCCAGCTTCTTCGTGGGCTTATGGCAGCACACGTTGGGGGCCAACTGACGTTCCCCACCTCACACAGCCCCCTGAATATCCTAGGCTAGCCCAGAGATCCAAGGCTGTGAGGGGAGGAATATCAGGAGATGGTAAAGATTTCCAAAAGAGGCTCTTACCCCGAGATATGTTGGTTCAGCTCTCTTTATTCTGTGATGTCTTAGTGGAGAGCGGGGCAAAAGAGAACAAACAGGAAATGTCAGGGGTCTATATAGACTTTGGACAGGGTGGGCTTCCCTGGCTCTCTGCCAACCCCATTGGGGTAGGAAGGAGGGGTCCAGGGTTATCTTGATCAGAGTCACAGGGTCCCGGGTACAGGGGGAATAGAGTGCCCATGAGCTCACTGTAACATTCATTATATTTTGATGAGTGTTTTGTGGTCAAGGGAAATGTACTTTCCCCTTTAGTGCATATCAATTTGATCAGCCTTCTGTAAATCTCCCATGCTCTGTATCAGTGTGGGTATAATTTAGTCCATTTGCTGTATGGAAAGATCCTTCCCCCAGATTTCTGTGGTTTTAACTGTAAACAAAATATTTGGGGAGGCAGAGAGCCTCGCAGGGGAGTTTGCTGGGGGCAAATATATAATGGCTAACTGTTTAATTAGGACCAGTCCCTAGAAGTTTTCTAGGAGATAAAAGAAGTTGCATGCTCACCAATGTTGAGCAGCAGAGGTGCTAGGCAGGGTTACTTATAAAGCCAAGACATTTTGGCTTTGGGATTAGTCCTCAGCTCAGAGGTTATAAAAATCCCACAGCTCTTCTATCCTCATAAGAAGGGTGAGAATTGAAGCAATTCATGACCCACCCTTAAATATGAGACAGAAGCTACAGAAGAAAGAGTAGGGACTCAGCAGATGAGCTAACCAGTGCAAGGGAATTTGGCATCAGAGCAGTCATGTTATTCATGTTCTTGGAAGCTGGATGTGCTTGGTCTGACTGCTTTGTTCCAGTAACACAAGGAGCAACCTGGCTTTCAGCTCTGTAGGAACAATTCCATGTCTTTCTCTCTCAGGTCTACTCTTACAGGACAGCAATGCCACTTAGTGGCTTCATAAAATCTGTTTTCTCATTTAAAAATAGCTTGTATTAGAGAGCAAGGTGTTTGATTGAATAGCAGCTTTTTGCTGAATTCTGAGCATGGCTGCAGAGTAGGGATGAAACACCACCCAAAATTTTTGTCTTCATCTTTTCCAGATGTTGCACAAGCCATGACCTCCAGTGGGATGTTATATCCCTGCCTGAGTGCCCAGAGCTGGCAGCACAAAGCCCATGTGCCTGGGAGGCTTATGGGGAAGGCAAGACTTTGGGCACAAAAGCCTACCTTGCCTTAAGAAGGAGCTCCATCCTAACATTGGAATTGTAACAAATAAGCACAGTTCATCAGGAAAAGCCATTCTCAGGAGAGAAGAGGAGGCTGTATGGCTCTCACTGTCTACCAAGCATGTTCATTCCCACATTTGTCAAGGTGCTGTGCCATCTAGAGGAATTTGAAAGGCATTTTCCCGTGCCTCTCCAAAGAGCTGGTGCTGTGCTGGCTGGTACAGCTGTGCAGGGAGCCAAGCAGTGAGAGCTGGTCCTGGGCCAAAACCACTCCTGGCAGCCCCTGTGACGGGTGTTCCTGCCCCAGTGCAGCACCAAGGCACAGAGGGGATTTGTGTGAGTTTAAAATGCCTTTAAAATGTGTTGCTTTAACTGTTTGAATGTGTTTTCTTTACAGGTTCAATCTACATCCAAGTGTGATTTACAGAAACAAGGGCACATCTCTACCCAAATACCCAGGCTACTGCTGACAGAGACGCCTCTTACGAGATGAAACAAGGGCTTCACCCTTTTTTTCCTCTCCTTTGTTCATGAACAGCATCACAAAGGAAGCTGCTGTAAAATCCAGCTACCAGTGACCACAGGCAGAGATGTGCTTCATGGCTTTTGGTGTGAGGTAAATTCAGAGTACACTAATGCTAATTAACATGAAACAAGCTGCAGCCTGCAAATAGAGGCACAGGGTAAATAGTTGGTGAATGTTGCTATTGACTGAATATAGTTATTTAATATCTAAAAGTGTTAAAGTGATGAAAAATATTGCCTTCATTCCTTTCCTGCTCAACAACACCTCAGGTTTTCTTCACCCCCTGAACTGTCATCCTCACCTCTTTCCTGCTCCATGTGCCGTCCTGGATCACATTTGGTTCCTCTGACTGGGAGTCATCCATAGCTGATGGGGTGCCTATAGCTTTGCTTTGCATTACCAGAATAACCTTGTGCTCTCAGCCATGCACAATCCTTTTAGGCATCCTAATTCCTTATGTGATTCTGACCATCAAAGACATAAGCCATAGATCAGTAGAAAAACTGTCTGTCCAATTTGCTGTAAGAAAAATAAAGAAATTTCCCAGGTTCTCCTGGGTTCAAAATCATCAGATGAAAATTCTACAGCCCACTTCATTTTTGACTTGTTTTTAGTTTTGATGCCCTCTGCCCTTGGTTTTGTCTCCACCAGCCTGTGGGGCAGTGCTGTGAGGCTCCAGCAAAAGGGTTGCTTTTTCTGGCAGGAGGTGACTGTTAGCAAGTGACTGTCAGAGTAGGGTGTTTGTTGTCAGAACCATTATCCCACACTGCTTGTAGTCTAGCTACAAAAACTCTAAATCCAAACAAACAAAAAAGAGTGGCAACAGAAAAGCCTATTGTTACAAGAAGTATTCCATTAGCATCATATTCTGTGCTTTTAAAGTAGCATGCATGTGGGAGGCTGCTTTTTTACTCTGCTTTCTAAGCTTTGCTTTCACAGCAAATCTAGAGAGCTCTTCCATGTCGCACTTTAAAAAAGAAGATGATTTTTCATATCCAGAATCAATGTGCTTTCTCCTGATTATCCAGGAGGTGAGGTCAAAGTGTCACAGGCTTGCACTTGAGATGCTGACATCCCCACCTTGCCCATGTGCTCCAGATGCTGGGCCAAGATCCGTTTCTGGCTGTCATTAACTTGCTCAGTAGCTCTTAGAAGTCAGTTACTTCCTTCTGCCTTTTTATCTATGTCCTGAGCAATAGGGCATAGAGCATGAAGGAGAGAAATGAGCTTTCACTGTATTTTCTTTCCTTCTGGGATTTCTGTAATGTGCTCAGAATGAATGTTTTGTTTTGCCCCTTGTCCCTTGTCCTCACAACGTGCCTGGGTCCCCACCTCAGCCTCCTCAGGTTAAAAGAAATAATTATTTCAGGGAATAAGTGAAACACTGCTGAAGCAGCAAGGGTTTCACATTTTAGTTTGATCCTTTAGTATCTGAGACCTATAGAAAACAGAAGAGTATATTTTAAATTCTGAAGGATTAGATGAAGCAAGTACTCCAACCACTATAATTTCAGAACCAAAGGGCAGATGGTTTATACATATTCAGCTGAATTCTTACCTGAAAAAGATGATATATCTTCTCTGGACGTAGCTATTCCTGCCTTCCCCATGCCAAACCCAGTTGTGCTCATTCACTAGAATAGACTAGAAAAGCAGGTTCAGTCAGTGCCTGGTAAGAAATGGCACCACTGTCTTGAAAGTCAAATCAAGTAGACAAGGAAAGTTCATATATACATTTTTATGCATTATGTATTTATCAAAATTAGCCTGTGTTCTGTGAAAGATTATGTGGAAGTTTATGTGAATGTTGCAAAACAAGAAATTAAAATGTGCCTGAGTAACTGGGCAAATGTGTAGTATTATAAAGAAAGTAATAATGATAATGATGATAATAATAATCTAAAATAGAATGGTAAATGACAACACGTGTCAAGGGTCCCTGTTGGACCTGTGGAAGTTAATGCAGTGGGACCACAAGGTAGGAAGAATTTCTGGGCTGATTGGTGAATATAAAAAGGTTAAGGGATATAAAAGTTCATGCTTTGAGTCACACAGAAATTGTATGGTTTGAATCATCAGACAGACCTAATTGAGGGACACAGAGATGCTGCCCTACTTAGAGTACAGCTTTGAAAGCTGATCAAAGTCTGGCCAAAAAAATACTACATTTTTATGTAGGAAAACCAGGAAAATTCTTACAAAGTGCTATTAAACCAGGCCCTTTAGCACCTTGCAAGAGTATAAAATTGTCCAAACTGCTCTCAGAAAGGTCTTGCAGGTAAGCAATGAATGCTATGCTTGGTAGAGAATCACACAACACAGATGCAGATAAGAGCTGCAGAATGCTGAGTGTTGTACAAACATGCAAAGCATCACTCACCTTTAGGGCTTTCAGGACGGGCAAGCAGTGGTGGAGAAGTCATTATTCAACAGAATGCCAGTAAAGTCAGGAAGCATGACCAAGCTTCCCAAATCCCTATCTGTCACCTTACCCCTAACCTCCTTTGAATGCTATGAAAGAATTTTTACTGCTTTGTGAATTGTCTTATAGAAGAAAATCATAGTTAGGAATTCTCACAGCAACGACGTGAAAATTAAAGAACTAGACTGTCTCTTGAAAGAAATTTGGGCAACTGCACAATGTAAATTGCATGTACTGGTCTGAAATACCTGTTTTTATGCATTGATTTCTTAGAGGATTTCTGGATTGTTGTCTCTCTATTTCATTTGTCTGAGGGTCCTGTTGGAGAGCTGTCCATGAGCCAGAAGTGTGGTGGTGTCAATGCTATCCTGGGGTGCATTAGGAAAAGCATTGACACCAGGTCGAGGGAGGTGATCCTGCCCCTCTCCTCAACTCTAGTGAAGTTCAGCTGGAGTGCTGTGTCCAGTTCTGGGCTCCTCGGACAAGAGGCACATGGAGCTCCTGGAGTCCATGTGGAAGTTAACAAAGATGATTAGGGAGTGGAGGATAGGGAGGGCATCTTAATCAATACTTGTCAATAAGTATCTGAAGGGAGGGTGCCAAGAGGCCAAAGCCAGGCTCTGCTCAGTGGTGCCAAGCAATAGGACAAGAGGCAATGGGCAGAAAATGGAGCACAGGAAGTTCCACTTGAACATGAAGAAGAACTCCCTGTGAGGGTGACTGAGCAATGGGACAAGGTGACCAGAGAGGTTGCAAATTCTTTTACCCTGGTGACACAGCTGTCTGGACACAATCCTGAATTATGTGTTCTAAGGGGACCCTGCTTGAGCAGGAAGGTTGGATTAGATGATATCCAGTGGTCCCCTACAACCTTATCCATTCTACGATTCTAATTAAATATCTGAAAGCTGAAATCCTTCAGGAAGGCTTGGAATCTTCGAAAGATGTGATTTCCCCCTATTTCAGAGAGTGAAGACAAAAATTGTTGCTTCCTTAGTAACACAAAGTAATCAGCCCATATGATCAATCAAGCCTATAAATGATCTTGTAGTGGACCTGTGCTTTTTGGAAAATGTCCTCCAAGCCTAACATCCTGTAGTGCTGGTCACAGCCTGCCCTCAAAGCTAATCAGCATGTGTCTTAATGTAAAACAACTGAACAGCACTGCTCTTGCTAGTGGCACTTTCCTCCTAACACTGCAGGTGTCACTGTAAAATAGAAAATCTGCTTGTAACAGAATCTGTTCCGGTGACTTTGCAGGGGGATGTACACAGCTAGAGTTTATGGGAAAGTGTTTGTCCTCTGATGCTGGATTAGATGCTATGCTCTATTCTAACACTGTTGCTTGATCTGTTACTGGTGGTCATCATGGTTCTCACAGGAAGAACAAAGTGTTGATGTTATAAAGGCAAATTTCCTCCTCTCCTATGATATTTTCATTTGTGAGAGGAAGGCAGAGCATCCTTGGTCTGCAAAGCCAAAGTGTTGCTTCGTATAAACATAGGAGAGCAGTGAAAGTTCAGCAAGATGCAAAAAAAAAAAAATTGTTTATTGGGCATATGATTGTCCATTGAATTTTGTCTTTCAGAGATGCCAGAATAATTATTAGCAGAAGGAAGTTACAAATGCTTTAATTTGGATGGGTATATCCAGTCCACCAAGTGATTAGGATGACAACAATAATGAAGAAATCCACAACAGGCTCCTGTCTGTTATATGTGAGCAGTATTTTAACTTTGCTGTAGTACAGTTCCATAAAACAGGGAGATTATGTGCTATCACAAAGGTTCATTGTGAAGATAAATGTATTAAAGAATATGAATCACTTTGATATTTTGGGTGTGAAGGTCAGATCAGATGCCAAATGCGATTCACGTCTCATTAAGAAAAACTAGGTTTTGCCTGTTGTTTTACTGTTTTAACTCTCTGATGAAGAACCATGGTGTGAAAGCAAAAAAAGGAAAAAATCACCCTGATGCATTCCCATATTGCAAGCAAAATTATCCAATTTACCCAAAATTCTAAGATGTTTATAAAGGAAAAAAAAAAAGCACTAAATAATGATTTTTTTTTCTTTTTTCATTAATTGCAAGCATTTATGCCATAGAAACATCCCTAAGGATATATTTCAGCAAAATGAATTGTGGTGCATTTAAAAAAAATATTTGACACCTCTTTTAAGAATTATGCAAGAATTTCCAGATAATGTGACCTTATCAAATGGCATAAAAGGCTGTTTTAATTGTGTGGCTATATTACAGAAATAAACTAGTATGCTAGCATTTATATATTAGTATTCATACATTTGAGTACATTAGGACATCTCAGCTCAGATATCCTGGAAAGAGAAAGAGCCTAGCTGTCTAGGAAAATGACATCAGCACCTATTTAAACACCTGTTAGCCAGGAAAGCCAGTGGGATGTTTGCCAGAACATCAACATCTCCACACTTTCTGTTTCTCAGGTTGGGCAGTGGTTATTCACAGTCCAATATTAACTTCTGCAACCTGAACTCTCCAGTAAAATCGTGTCCAGTGGAGTTCTGCCACTGAGCTAAAGAGCACTCAGACACTCTGCTAGGGGAGTAATTTCCCTTGGCAGCTGTGTGTGAGGGTGACAACAGCATGTGTGGGATCTGGAAAGAACAAGGCTGTGAACCTGCAGGAAAAGCACCGAAGTGCAGCCAAGCTGTGTTGCGCCAATATTTCAGGAAGCTGTCTCTGAGGGATAAAGGTTCTTACCTCTCTTGGTATTTTCTGTTGATTCTCTTCCTATAACCAGGAACATGGAAAATTGTTGCTGCTGTTTATCAACACTGCAAAGAAAATGTTTGATTCAGGCAGATTTTGACTTTTGGCTTGTCCTGGCTAGTATTTTAACAGTTCTGAGAAAACGAAAAATATACATCCTGATTTCATTATCATTGCTGTGCAGGGATTCCTTCCACTATTAGTATGGATACAGCATACCACGTCAAAGCTGTAGACATCTCATATAATCTTCTGTTTCCTTTACTCCTGCCCTGGAAATAAGGATAGATTATTTTAATTTATTTTATTTTTGATGGTGTGCTGTTCCTAGATACTACAGTAGAAATTTTTTGGTGACTTCCATTTACATTTAACTTATGATACTTACTTGTCATAAGTAGCAATTCTTATAAACCTGTGGAATGACATTCTTTTTTAGAGATTGCCTTTAAGTTTGGGGCTATTATTATTATTAGTAGTAGTATTATATCACATTATTATTATTATTATCTAGGTTGACACATGAAGGCTAGATGGATATGTATTAAAACAATTTATTAGATTGTCCTTTTTTTTTTTTTTAACTTACAGCCTTAGAAGCCAGATATAAATTGTATGTATTAGCATGATGAATAAATGAATGTAAAACTAAATATGAAATATATGTATATATACTATGCAATTCCCTTCAGGTCACAAATATCGGAATTAATTATTTTCCCTGTATATTTCATCCTTCCAGGGTCCTGAAATGACAGCCTTGGTTCCTAGCCAGGGTTTTGGAGCAAGCAAATGAATTCCAGGAGTATAAGGTAAGTAGCTCTTTTGTATTCATGGATTACTTTTGATCCCTACAGTTCAACAAGAATTTATAGACCCTGCAATCCATTGCCAGAAAATTTCTATAGTCAGAGAGTTTATTGTCTATTCCCATCTCAACTCCTGTGAAAAATCAATGAAAGGAAGTTTTAAAATCCCAAAATTGTGCGTGACAGCTATACTTATGTGCCTACATTAGAATTATTTATTATTAGGATCAGATGGGTATGAAACCAAGAGAAAGAGAAAGGGAGGAAGAGAATAGGGTGGGGTTTTTAAGTGCTTTCAGGTGACTTAAATATTTGAATTTATTTTAAAATATTTAAATTCATTTAAATTTAATTAAGCTTGTGCTTCTCTTTCTGGTAGTCCCAGAGGGTACTCACCCAGTTGGAAAACCTGTGACTATTAAAAATGTCAGTATGTTGCAGCTCCTATTTTATCTAAGACAGCTGAGACTTTGGTACTGTGCTCTGTCATGAACACCTGCAATGCTGCAGAAAGAGGTGCAAAACTCAAGAATGTTTTCTTTGTCATTAGCTTTCAGGAAAACCCCTTCCTGGTCTCTGGAAAAACACCTTGGACTGTTTTGTATTCACAAACCTTCTTCATATGATTAAAATACAATTCCTTTCACTGCTCTTAAGAGGATGCCCCAAATGTGAATTCTCAATGTTCCTCTGCTGAACTGTGTACTTTGTTATCCTTTGTACAACAAAATGCTGATAACTCTGCCCTTGATCCTGCAAAACACTTAAATACATGCTCAAACTTACCTGCACATGTGCTTTGATGCACAGCAGCCAATGCTCAGCAGTTTTCAGGTCCCTTAGCTGGGAGGAATAGTTTTGAAATATTCTGTGAAAACTCCACAAACGAGAATTCCTTCAAGCAGACCGATGCAGAGGAAAATATTTCTGTTGGTTTTTCACTTCTTTTTTTCCTTGGGCAGGAAGGAAATGGAGTGGAAAAATAATAAAACACCTGATGCAGAAACAACATTTCTATTCCTTACTGACATAGCAAACTTAAGACACAGATTCAGTTAATAAAGTATCCTGCACTGTGATCTTCTCCTTCTGACTATATTCAGATTCATCCCATAGCTATATGAGAAGCAGGGAACTGTAAGAACTGTAAGAATATCATAAAAGGAGAATTCACACATACAATTTATCTTTGCCATCTTATCTAGGCCAAAAATATTGGTACCCTTTACAAGAGGACTGGATAATTGTTTTAGACATGCTCAGAAATGTGACTCTTTCCTCTGATTCTGGATAAGAAAATATGCAAACAAGCCTGATATAGACATTTATATGATGTACAGTGAAACTTGCAAGAATAAATATTAAGGAAGAAAATTATAAAATAGATTATGGAGATATATTGGTCAGACATTATTTAGGAATTCACCAATTTACTGCCTTAGAAAATGTATTTGAATAAGAGACATATTCTTTTCCATCTATTGTGTGCAGAAATAGATAATTTTGTCTAGTTTCATTATAGGAGGTGATTACTCTCACAGTCATATACATGGGCATGTACTAACAGAATTTCATATTAATCTTTGCTCCTCTTTTCTCCCAGGGTAGAATTATTGACTGTGAGATTTTCCTTTGATACTGTTTTTTTTTATTTTTATTTTATTTTAATGAAGTAGAGGTTGCCTTACTCATTTAATTAGTAAAGTACATATATTTATTTTACTTGTTTGGTGACCTTGTTTTAAAACTAACAAATGCAAGAAATTTTTTTTCACACCCAAGGTAGGCAGAGATGAGGTACTAATTTGAAGACCTTAATATTACACACAGTGGCAGACAGCATTTAGTATTAAGGGCTGTAGTTGCCCAAATCGATTATAATAATGTGCCTATTATCCAAATAGATATTTAAAACCCATTTATACTATATTAATAATATTTAATGACGCACTGTATCTACAAAATCAATTAGAAACTGTAGTACTGCCTAAAAGCCCAGTGTGAGTTGAGAAATCATCACTTCATTCTAGTGCTTGATGATCACATGCCTTCTAGAGGTTTGTAAGGTTTCTGCAGATTGTGGCTTTCACCAGTGAAATCCCAGTGCAATTAAGATTTTAAAGTGCAGAGCAGTGAGGTGCTCCACATCTGAATGTTTTATTTCCACCTGCTTAGTCTTTGGTGTCAAAACTGGCATGTATTCAAAAGGTTTCTGTGAAGGCAGTATGATGATCCTACTGCAACCCCTCAGCCTTTCAGCTACTGACTTGATAGTCTGGGATGCCAGAAGCTCAGCTGCATTCCCTTCCCTTCATGAGGCAGCTTCACTCTGTGGATTTCCCTATCTCCCCCTGTAGCAGAATGGCCTTAGCTCCTCTTGCTGTTGCATTTTGTATATGGTAATTGCACAGTCATCAGACAGAGAGACTCACCATGTTCATCACTTCCTCAGGCATTAGGCAGGACATTGGAATTACGTGGTGACAGCAAGTCAAAGTGCCAGGAATGAATCGTGCGTCTTAGCAACTCTGCCTCAACAAGGAATCCAAAGGCAAAGTATGTCCTTCTCATCCCATCAGTAGCCAGATGCCTGCAGAGTACTTCTTGCTTTCCCCAGCCAATTTAAAACAATAAATAGTGCTATTGATAATTTTGAGAAGTTGCCAAAAATCTTGGAGGCTTAGCACCTGAAGAATTGTATTAGACACCACTATCTGCATTTTCAGTAGTTCTCCTTAGAAAGTCTTAAGTTTTCATCTTCTACTGAACTGGCACAGCTTCACTTAGTTTTCCCGCTATTACAAGTTGCTGTTATAAAAAAAAAAAAAATCCAACTTATAATATGTGAGAACCCTGGCCTTGCTCTGGGGTCTCATATGGTGGTGAAATTCCTCCTCCAACCCGTGCTTCCAAAGAAAAACTCCACAGGCTTTAGCTGTTCGGTCTCAAGGCGGTTTATTGCTAGTTATCTAACAGATTATGTTCTTGGACTGCAGCTGTTTGATCAGCGGCCTGGGTAGAGGCACACACACACACACACTGACATCCTCTCTGTCTGCTGTCTTCTTCATCTCTCTCCCCGCCCAGGGCTGCTGCTATCTTTTATAAGATATATTACGTATTACATGTTTACAATTATTCCCCAATACCTACTACCTAGGTTGCCAAGTGTTTTTCTACTCTAAACCAATCTGTGAGTGCCAACATCACTAAGAACATGGAGGTAAGGAAAAAGAAGGAGGAAGAACAGGATTAGCCCACTTTCCTCCATCTTAGAACTTCTGACCCCCATGTACAAAGTGAAAACCCCCCTGTACAATACTAAAAAAATTTCCCCTCTACTTTGTAATTACTTTTACTATACTATTTAACCTTTTGTGACTGCTTGTTCCACCTCCAAAGATGGTAATTCATTCCATGGCTCAAACTCAAAATCACAGCTGTTTTTCAGCTGCCTGCCAGGTTCTAAAATGCTTCTGACCAAGGCCTGGAACCTCTAAAAATGTCTGAGAGACATTTTGAGTTCCCATAATAATATATTAAAAATATTGGTTAGCACACCTCCATATTAAAAAAAAAACAGCAAGAAAGATGATTTTTCTTTCGAGTGATTTCTGTCTATGAACTTGATCATTTTAGCTATAATTAATCTAGTGCAGAGATTGAAGGGCTAAATCATAGTGCTTCTTCATGCTTTCTTTCCAGTAAATGAAAGAGAATAGCTATTGACCTTTTTCCAGCAGCAAAAAGAAATTGGTATATTCAGCCTACTGTTTGTATGGAGGAAAGAACAGAAGTGCTCTATAAAACTTGCTCAGCAGCAAGTCTGTCCATTCTAAGACTGTTGGCAACTTTAAATGCTAACCTTATCCAAAGGCCCTACAGTGATAGGATTTATTCACTAACCTTGTTAAAGTTTGGAGCTGGACCTAGTTCTTATACCAGTAAAATAATATCAATTTTCTGGGATGTGGATCTATTCATGGGAGTGGGAGAAAGATGAAGGACGTGAGTTGTCAATTGGATGCTGGAACCCCTCCAGGGCACTGGAGGACATCTGAGCCGTGGGAGTCAGAGACATGCACCAGATAAAATGCAGGGAGGCAGGGCACCCATGCAAGCAGGTGTACCCCTGAAATCTCTTTCAACAGAAAGGACAGTCTGAAGGAGAGGCTTGGGGTGTAGAGGACATCTTATGGCCTTGTTATATTAATCCTTGATTTATGAGAGGATCCAGGACTTGATAACTTAGTTATAGGGAATAATCTAATTAATTTTTTTTTAATTCTGCATTTTTATGCTAGATATGGCCATGATTGAAATGGCATGTGTGGTTTTATGTTCATTAAGCATTCTTGACTAGTTCACTAGGAGTTTGACTCAGGAAGGGGTTTCGATTTCTTTATTTACTGACAGTCTTCCCTGACAGGAGGAAGGTACTAAATGTTCCTGTCATCATACTGCTGCAAAACTAAGGCCAGAGAATAGTTTCCTTGTGGATACATCCACCAAAAGACTGAGTATTGCATAAATGAATAGCCTAACTAGTTTTCTATACTTAAAAGAGTAGAGCTTAGCTAGGGAAGAGGATGATTAGCATTTAAGGTGTGAGACACAAGCTTTTGGAAGAAAAAATCCCTCTTCCCTTCTCCCCATAAAATAAAAAAGTCAGAGTATATGGATCAAACTTTTAAAAGATAATGTTGATTTCTGGTAGAGTTGAAAAATAGGAGTTTTATCCATTTCTACCTTAACTTAAATAATGAATCTCTTTGGAAAGATCTATTAAGACAGGGCAGGTAGGGCTCATAGAAAAACTCTCACAGCATCTTCCCTTGCTTTGATCTCTAATGAGAGAATTGCTACAACGTTCACGAATCCTTACAGAAGAGTTCATGTGAAAGCCTATGTAAAATTTATTGTGCAGAGCCGTGGAGGCCCTTTAAAATGCAGGAAAACCCATGAGATGTAAGGGAAGGGAAATGTAATACCTTAGGTTTACAATTTGTACTTTTTTTTCACTTCTTACGGTTTTGCTAAAATTAGAACCATAGGCCACTTTGTACAATTCCCAAGTCACTGTAGCATTACACTGGGGGAGTGTATACACAAGGTATATGTTATATGTTATTAAAAATATATATATAATCTCCCTCTCTTATACATATAGTCTCTATGTGTATATCTAAAATAAAAGTTCGTATGGAAAAGATACATTCCAAAAAAGGAACAAAAGGAAAATAAATAGCGAAAGAAATCTCTTCATTGTAGGGAAACATGTTCACTTTCAATTTTGAAATGTTGGCTGATAGTTCATAAGAAAATTTAGACACATGTCTCTAAACGTGGTATTACTGAAAAATAACCTCTCTGAAGTACCTGCAAAAAACCCCCAAAATCTACATGACTCAAATAAGAGACATCCTAAAAACTCATCTAAACTAAGTGTCCCAAAATGTGTTTTTCTGAGTCAGTAGGTTTGTTGAATGTTATATCTGATAACTGCAGCATTACTCCCTTACTTTTAAAAGCTGTGCAGAGTTTCTGTTTCCAAAACTGGATGAAACACAACCCTTTCCATTTTCTACCAGAATTATCTGCTAAATCATTAAATACTACTGTTCAGGGATGTATCTGTGGAATCTCATTGAATTCTATGCATCATCTGAGCAAAAACATGCTGGCAAACTGGAATTAATATCTATGTGTGGTCAGCAGTGAAATAAATTTGGCAGGCAGTGAAAGAAATTCATACCAGTTCTGAAGAGATGTCAGAAAAAATATGACCCATTTCATAATGACTAAAAAGCATTTCCCCCCAAACACCTCTCCCTGTAGATCATTGGGAAAAGTTGTGGCAAGCTGCAGCTCTGACTCACAGATAAAAGTGTGAGCACACTTTACAGGTGCTGTAAAGACTGGCATTATCCTTCAGAAGGGTGAATTAGTATTTGATGTGCTCTCTACATAGATCTCAAAATGTTTTAAAAAAAGCTAGAGAGTAATTTACTGTCATTCTCCAGTGGATTGATAATGGACCCAGGAATAGTTTAAATTCATTTATCTGGGTTAATAGTCACATGACAGTAGAGAGCGAAACATAATTTAGAATGTGATATTTTTTTTCCAGATGGCTAACTCCACATTTGTTGGCAGTGATGGGAGAGAGAATAATGCCAGAACAGAATAAATAGGAATTCAAAGAACTAAGAACCAGTATTTACAGACATCAGCAAGAAAGCTTGGTATAAAATATCCAACTCTTCTGTCCATTGTCACAAGCCATTTTAAGACAGATTTTCATTCCTACTTCTCATTGAGATGCATCTACAGATAGAGTGGCATTTTTTATTATAAAGCAAAAGAATGTGTGTCTGGTTGCCATCTCTGGATTTGTATTCTGTCACTCCGTTTCACAGCTTGAGTTCCCAAGCCAATGACAGTGGCAATGCAAGCACATCACCTTCCTCCAAGGGCTTTGTTTATTGCCATTTCTCTGTTTCCCCACTCCTTTCTCCCTGCTCCCTGGAAAGCTAAATCCCGCTCCCAGCCCAACTTGTGTGACTCTGCAGTTTCCCACTGGAGGGACAATTTAAAATTTCTAGGCACTCATGGCAATCTGCCCACCTTTGCTGGTCCAAGGTTGGTTATGAAAAATGCTGCAAACCCCCAAAGGAACAGGTAATAAGTTTCAAGTCTCATTAAATATTAGAGGTTTTCATGGACTTCTTTCCTTGCAAATAAAAATCCACATAACTCTACTGCCTTTAAGGTATTTTTTTTGGGGTTTTTTTTGTTTCATTTCTCAGTGCTTTTCTGGTGCTGTGAGTGCTGTGGGCACACCAGGAGGCTGCTTTGATGATAGAGGGCTCAGCTGAAGAGCAGTTTAAGAGCGTGTAGAGCTTTTTCACTGACACAGGACACTACACTTGTCCAAACACATGACATTTTAATCACTGATTTTGCCAGCAATGTTCAAGGTTATATTAGGCCTTGTTCAAGTCTTCGAGCAGCTTTTCTACTGCTGAATTTACACATCTGCCACAACATCATTACTGGGATCCTCTGTAAAGGCCTAAAATGGAGACACAGTTTTCAGCTTATTGCAGTTGAGGCACTGAGGTCACTGTGTAAGGCAACAAACTGGGACTTGAGGCACTTCATTTTCCAGTCAGCCTTGGTAGCAAACTTCCCTGGGACTTGAGCTGTATCATGCTGGTGTCCTCCCAATGTCTTCCCTTTATCTGGGACATTGAGTTATACCTGGAGATGAAAAACCAGCCAAAGTCCATCATCTCTGCCACATCTAGCACTGAATCTGGATTTAATGCTAAATCTAAATAGCATGCAGAGTCTTTCCAACTAACTGGCATCATGTTGTGGCAATATTTCAAATGTGGTGAGGATCTTCTGAGTTTTGTGTGCATGTAATTTATTTCCTGCTTCCTGACTCACAGCATGAGGAAATTTAATTAAATTACTTGAACATCTAATTTAGCTTTTAAAGCCTCAACACTGAGGTGTGAGATCACAGCTTCTGTCAGTGAACAAAATCAGTCATGGGTCATGCAAGTTCCTCTCCCCAGTGGCACCACATCAGCCACAGCCTGGAATTTTGTGGAGAGCCTGGACACTCATGACAGCTTCCCAGACACAGAGGCTTGGGCAGATGGCTCTGAGATGAAGCAGAAGTCAAGGTCACAGTATTGCTTGGGGTGCACTTAAATTAAATTATCTATTGGCTTCCTGACAAAGGCTAGTTTTCTCCTTGGATAACTCAAGCACAAAGAAATATACTTCAGAGGGACCT